ATTCACTCTGATTCCATTTGAAGCTCCTTTTAGTTCTCTGGCCTGATCTTGTACTCAAGGCTCTTCTAAGCAGTGTAGGGTGCTGGCAATACCTAAACAATGAAGTAAAAATGAAATTAATTACTGGTAGGATCAACTTCTCACTTCTGACCTCTGTTCCAGGTGAATCTCTGCCTCTTTTGGGGCAGCACTTGTAGGCCAAGGATATTTATGGCTTGAGGCCTGTGTGATATGGGGGTGCCGCCTAGCTTCCCCTCCCATGTGTCTGGCCTGGCTGTGAAAGTCTTCAACATCCAGTGGTTTAAAGAAGGCTGTCATAGGACAACTTCAGCTTTTGTACTGTCCTACCAGAGACGATAAATGGTGGTGACTATGATTTTGACAAGGGGAAGAAAATGTGTTCCTTTGGACACATATCTGAAATACATGTAAAATACAGACAAAAACTGGAAAGGAGCTGAATGCACTGTGGCATCTTGGAACAGAAAAAGAACAGTACTGGAAAAGCTAATGAAATCCGAATTAAGCCTGGAGTGTGGTTAATACTAATGTTCCAATGTTGATTTCCTAGTTTTGGTAAATGTACCCTGTTATATAAGATGATAAAATTAGGAGAAATTGGGTAAATGGTACATAGAAACTGTCTGTACTATCTTTGTAACTTTTCGGTAAGTATAAAATTATTCCAAAGTAAAAGTTTTATTTAAAAAAAAGATGATGAAAAGACAGCATGAAAGGGACAATTCAACTGAAATGGCTTTTTTTTTGTTTAATACATGGTCTTTGTAGGAAAATCAGAAAATAAGGATAAACAAAAATCACCCTATCTCTAGGTCACCTTCCTTGACCCAGAGATAATCACTGCCAACTTCCAGACTTTTTTTCTCTGTAGATAAGTAGATAAGAAAATAAAGGTGGAGTCACACTATAATACTGGTTCCTTATCTCCTTTCTTTTCCATCTAAGACATTGTGATCAGTTTTCCATGCCAAGAGAATATATTTTTTAACTGCTTGTTTCTAATCCCTTAAGTTATTAGCTGATCCCATACTCAGGTATTTATATCATTTTCACTGTTACAAACAATACTGCACTGTATTGATTGAAACTAAGTGTTTTGTGCATGTCAGTGATTGTTCCCTTAGTCCTTAAAAATGGAGTTGCTGAGTCAGAGGGCCTGTTCACTTTTAAGCCTTTATGTTCCACTTGCCTTTCTGAAAAACTGTCCCACGATCCAGTCCCACAGCCACGTCTCTGAACTCTCCCCAGCTGAGTCGTCATCGTCGTCTTCTGTATCTTTACTAACTAGAAGGGCAAAAAAATAGGAGGTATTTGTTTTCATTTGTATTTTTTCAACGAGTAGAGAGGTTTCCATTTTCTGTATATTGCCCACTTATATTCTTACTTTAGTAAATAGCCTGTTGGTACAATTTTCCATTAGTGGATTGTTTATTTTTGTTTTGATTCATAGGAGCACTCTATCTGCAGGTCTCCCTTCAGAGGCAGACCAGAATGCCTAGGCTTTGCCCTCACTGATCTCATTTTTCCCACTGCAGATCCTAAATCTGACCCAGGCCCTGAAAGACAACAAGAGTCCCCTGCACCTCGTCCAGATGCCACCCGTGATTGTCGAGACGGCCCGTTCCCACCAGCGATCTGCTAGCGAGTCCTACACACAGAGCTTTCAGAGTCGGAAGCCCTTCTTTTCATGGTGGTAGCCCCAGAGGCAGACAAAGGCACATTGTCTGAGACTTGGCCTGGGAGAAAGCCTGGGGAGCAGGTTACAGGAAGAGCCAGAGAAGCCGGTGGAGATCAGTGCCCTTAAGAGCCCTCCCTGTCTGCTCACCACCCCCTCAGAGCTTTCCCAAGCACAGGGAGAAGCACAATCAGAAGGACAGTGTGTGCTGTTGGGCCCTTCTGAGAGCTGGCGTAGGGGGGCTGGCGCTCCGTGCAAGTAGTCCAGGTGCCCGGGAAGGAGCATCTCCCTTCCAGCATCTCCTGGGGGAAGGCTGGGAAACTCCCTTCCCTTCCTGACACCCTGCTCTGTAGCTATTCCTCATTATATTCTGCATCAGAAAAAAACAAATACAAATTTAAATATAAAACCCAGGCAGAATCCCAGAACCTCTTATAGCAGAAAACCTCTGATCCAGACCTAAATTTGCATGGGCCCAGACATCCAGGTGTCTCACAGTTCCCTACCCCCACGGACCAAGGCAGCTAGGTGACTCGCAGTGCTGGGACAGACAGAAGCCACACTTCCTTTTGGTTTTCTGCCAAGTCTTCTTCCCCTTCTCCTCCCACTGGTGCAATAGGCTGACTCCAGACACGATTCTCACAGTGGGGAGACTTTTGCTCTAGAACTCCCAGCAGTTTTACAGTGATGGTATAGATCACCTCTGCTCCCTTCCCTGCTGGGGACCCAACCCCTCTAGTGTAGGCCTGTAGGTTGCTTGTCACTCAGGCAAAGGCAGGAGGGAGGAAGTTGACTCCCCAGCATGCAAATGTGATCCATACCACCTGGGTATATGCTGGGAACTGTAATGGTCTATGGGTGAACTTATCCAAGCCTTGCTTCCTTAGTCCTTGGCCGTAGCCAAAGGTAACAAACTCTCCCAGTCTGCTAATTTGTTCCTGTTGTTTTAGATGTTTTGTTCTCAACTCTTGAGTTAGTGCTTCAGTTCTGGGTTCTGGAGTGGCTCTCGATGAGGGTTCTGGGGTGGGTTTCAGCACATAAGAGGACAGGATATTAGGTCCTTGGACTTCTTTTTCCGCTACCACTGTTGCTTGCTGGAGGTAACAGGACTGGTGTTCCGCCTCCTGGTTGGCAGCTTCCCTTTGCTCCTCCACTTCTTGTTCCAGGCCAGTTTTTCCATGGCTTCTTGAGAAAGGCAGGGCCCTAAGGAGAGAGGCCTTCACACTGCCCCCCCGGTGGCTGCCCAACCCAATGTGCATCTTCTTGCTTCCATGTCTCTCTTCCCTCAGCTGTCCCCCTTACCAGCTGTCCGAGCCCTTTCTACACCAAAGCAAAGAATGGCCTCAGGGGGGAGTAAAGAGGGTGCCACCCGTGGCTGTGGGGCAGCCCTGTGCTACTGGACGTTTCAAGTTTCCGGCGTCCTGCGATTGGTCAATCAGCTTTGGAAAGAAACTATCTCGAAGGTTTGAAGAACAACCAAAGAAAGGGAGCAAGGACTATGGCTGTGTTCCCTCTGCTTGCCTAGCTCCCGCCATGCAGGAGGTGTGCAGCTCTCTCGTCAGCTGCGCCAGGCTGGGCCCCTTCCAGTCCAGCCCCCAGGAGCCAGCTTATCCTGGGCTTCCACCCCGCTGACAGGAAGTCTCTGGAGCTGGGTACGCATGCCCTGTGGACAAGGCACAGCTCCCCGCCGGCCCCAGCCCTGACAATCCCATTGAGCCGACCCCGACTTTGGCCTTAGGGATAATTTTTGCGAGAACATGGGAGCAGCAGGGCTCCCAGAGGCCGGAGGGGACCCAGCTGTGTTTAACTCTCCAGACATCTGTGTGCAAACGTGTTTGTGAAGCCCCCACCTGGGTGTTGAGAGAGCCTGAGCAGTCTAAAGAGCCCGGTGCTTCCCTCACTGAGCAGATCTGCACATTGTCCTCAGGCAGAGCAGCTCTGGGATGAGAAGGAAATTGGGTCCAATGTAAGAGGGAGCTGGTCCCAGTCCTGGCAGGCCAAAGAGTATGGGACATCCTTTCCTGGCCCACATCCGTTCTCCTTGAAGCCTGTACTCAGGTTGCCTTGAATGTGGACTTTGGGAGAGCTAGGGCCCAGAGTGCCGGGGTAGGCTTCTGGGCGGCACTCGAGGAACCGTCCGGCCCTCTGCCAGCCACAGGCCCTGTCTCCCAGTGTCAGGGAGTAGAGGCTGGGCTGTAGAGTGCTGCTGCCTCTGTACTGTTCTTCTAATGCACTGTAGAAATTGTATGTAATGTATTTAAATCAATGCAGATGTATGAATAACAAGTCCAATTCTGACCTTTTTTGTCTAGTTTTCTTTGGTGGAAGGAAGACAAGGTAGGATGCAATTTTAAGGACAAAGAACCCTGTGTTGCCATGGAGTTACTGAGATATGGCTCCTGAGTCTCTTTTCCTCTAGCAGAGGAAGGTACAGGTCCTCATTTCCCAAAATATTTTCATAACTCATTTGACACCAACACCTGACTTGCACCTACAGAGATGCAAAGCTATTTGTAATCATCATGTATCCCTTTTACTGTGAATATTTGTTGCAGAAATATTAGTGTTCTGTTATGAGATGCTCCCCCAATAGGGATTATACAGTTTTTGCAATAACTCCTTTCTAAAAGCCAAAAAAATTCTAAATTACAAAATCATCTCTCCCGAAGGTTTGGGGTAAGGAATGTGGACTGGCTTCTCTTTTTGGCCATAAGAGGGCAGCTCTGCTCTGTGTGTGCATCACTGCCCACTTGGAGCAATTTGAACCCTGGCTCCTTTAAGTGACGGATAATCAAGCAGGTAGGATGGGTGTGAGGGGAGCTTCGCTAATGAACATACAGTAGGCTTCTTTTGAGCCAAAGTTAGAATAGTAGTCAAAAATCCTCACCTCAAGGGTTTTCAGGCTACAGGAAACCTCAGTAATGCAAAAGGCATGATTGGTGCAGCTGTCGAGCTGCCTCAGGATGGCTGCTCCACAGGGATGCAGAAGCCAGCTGAGGAGCTGGTGCCCACTACACTGACGGCAGACTCATCCGGCCTAGGGTCACGGCCCACTATGCAGGGCTGACTGTAATAGTCTCCCCTTCCAGAGCTGGCTAGGGGCCAAGAACCCTCTCTCCTCATCTTGGACCAGGACTGCCTATGGAGAGGCTTCCATCTCGCCTCCCAGTCTGACAGCCTCTGGTAAAGGAGGCCAGCCCTATTTTCTCCTTCCTTCCCTCCCTGCAGTGAGCCCAGTGCCTCACCCCCAGCTCCGGAGTGTCCATTCTGGATCTTCCCCTTCTGTGACAGACTCACAAAGCTCTTGATGCAAATGGTTTTATTTTGCCACTTAAACTATGGTTTCCTTGTGCTGGCCTGAAGGGGCAGGGGTGTGGGACAAGCTGCTGGACCACAGGTTACGGGAGTAGTAGGAGGGTCGGTAGCAGGAGTGGTGAGATGCTGAGTCTGAGTGCCTGTCCTTGACTCCCAGGGGAATATCATGCAGCCCAGGTATAGTGTTAAACTGAGAAGGGCTGAGGCAGGAACGGTCACTGTTTCTCCTCAATCTGGTGAGGAATGGGTCCCATATAACAGCTCAGTGGAAGCCTCCGGGCCTGTTCTGACTCGAGCAGGCCAGTGCCAGCAGTGGGGCTGTCTGCCTCAGCTCTCTTCCTTCTTCGCTTCCCCAGACCTTTTGGCAAAAGTCCCTATGAATCCTGGGGAAGATAGAGCTGTTCCCAGCCCTTTCCCCGGATCAGTGTCTGATCTGATGAAGGTAGCTTGGGGGACCTGGCTTCCTCCGGTTCCGGCGGATCCTGGCATTGGTCCTCCTGGAGTTCAGATACTGCCCGCTGGAAGCCATCTCCGTGGCACTGCTCTGTGGGTCGGCCGGTGGAGTGCGGGGCTCTGTGATTCTGCAGGGAACAAGTGTGTTTTAAGCCAACATCAATAGGAAGGACAGTACAGGGACTGAAGAGATTTTGGTCATGGTGAACTATTAAAACACATTGTTCAGGGGGACTTCCCTGGTGGTCCAGTGGCTAAGACTCCACACTCCCAATGCAGGGGGTCTGGGTTCGATCCCTGGTCGGGGAACTAGATCCCACATGCCGCAACTAAAGGTCCCGCATGCCGCAACTAAAAGATCCCACATGCTGCAACTAAGACCTGACGTAGCCAAATAAATATTAAAAAACAAAACAAACATTGTTCAGGGCCAAATGAGACCAGGGCTCTGGTCTCATCTCTGGCCAAAGAGCTGCATGACAGGGCAAAGCTTTCAGACTGCTCTTCTGTAAAGAGAGTGGGGCTAGATCAGGGGGTGAGACACTCAGCATTTCTCCGTCTTCCTCATCCTGTACTCATGGCAGACATCATTAATCTGTCCTGATACAAGGCCAGAGGGCAAGTATCCATCTCAAGATGATTTCAGTAGGGATTACTAATCAATTGGAACTAATACGAGCAATGAAGCTGATTTGCTGCCCATGGACCTGATGATCTCAGAAGGCCTGCTCGGATCTGATATTCTGAGTGTGGGCCCAGCGTGTAACCCATAGTGATTGGTTAGGCCATGTGGTTCAACTCGATCTCTTGGGGCTTGCTGTTCCTGAGCTGGCAGTGACCTAATAAGCAAAGAGGTGGAGGACTAGGGAAAGTTTAAGGTAAAGTTTCTCAACCGTTTTTAACCCTTGATGTCTCAACAGTACTCTCTTACGCTATTTTCTTAGTAATCCCACAGCCAAGGTTTTCACCAGGCTTACTTTTGAATGTTACCTGTTCAGCAATAGGTAAACAGGATTGTTTTTTCTTCCAGACCATAGTCCCTCGCACCTGGTGGAGAATCACTGCGAAATGAGGTGGCACTGAGAGGACCCAGGCACCCGTTCCCATGGGAGTAGGGTTAGGGTGATTCCAGTAGTAAGAGCAACCTCTAAGTGTCAACCACGTGGTAAGTAAGTGCTGTGTAGACCTCACAACAACCCCAGTGGTAGGTACTTAGAGGTGAGGCCAGGTTAGCAGCTCCAGGCCCCAGAGCCAGGAAAGGGTACAGTGGGCGTGTTAGTGCTCTCCTCCCCGCGGCCCTCCAGCCCCAGGGGCCTACCTGAGCCGGCTGCAGTGGTGTAGCGAGGGGCCCAGGGGCTTCTGCCGAGGGGGCCTCTTCCTGCGCAGCTTCTTCAAGGCCTCCGCCACACGGTGGTCCCCTGCACACTCCCAGACGACCTGTGCTCGTTCCTCGGCCAGCTGGTCCCCGCTGCGGTGAAACAGGCCCTGGATCTGCAGCAGCTCAGCGTCCTGGAAGATGTTGGCCGAGGCCTGCTTGCGGCCCCGGGCTTCCGTCGGGGCCTGCCCAGGGGGCGGCTCGCTCACCACAGAGGCGGGGGTACCCATCCTGGGTGCCGAGGAAGGAACAGGGAGGGACGTCAGCAGCTCAGCGGGCCCTTCCCAAGCCCTGGGGTCCTGACTAACGCAAGGGCTTCTGGTGTTTCTATTCTCCAGGAGCCGAAGTGGAGGAAGTCTTGACTTAAAGTCACTCTAATTTCCCACAGCACCTTGGGGAAATAATAATGATGGTGACAGTCAAACTTTACTATAAACTGCTTATGTGCCTGACGTATGTATTAACTTAAGGGTCACAGAAGGCGAGGATTGTTTATCTCCACTTTACAGATGAAGAAGCGCACCCCAGATGTTAAATGACTTTCTTGCAGGCACAAAGCCATGTGTAAGTGCAGAGCCAGAAGTAGAACCCAAGTCTGTCTGGCTGTGGAGTCCACGCAGACCCCGGGTCCTAGTGATAACGCCCGTAGCAGCGGCAGCTGAAACGTGTTTAAGCACTTATGTATCACGCTTCACTGTAAGAGCTGTATTCACATAACATCGTTGAAATGTGAACACAACAGCCCTATGAGGAAGGTACTTTTTAACCTCCTCATGTCACAGATGAGGAAACTGAAGAACAATCCAGAATACTCTGATGCTGAGACCTAAGCTTTGTGGCACAGAAGTAAGAGAGGGGCTGTGGACTTGGGCTCCCCAGGTGGGAATCCGGCTTCTGGCCGCCTGCACCACTTACTGGCTGGGTGACCCTCCACACCTCATCTGCTTCCTGTGTAACTTAGCCATACTAGTACCTACTTCGTAGAGCTCCTGTGAGGACTGAGTGAAGACACATAAAGCATTAAGACCACTCATTTGCTTTTCCATCTACAACATTGAGAAGGGTCATCCCATTTTCTATTTTCAAGACCCTGGGGATGAACCTAGTCCATATAATTTAGTAAACACAGTATGAAATAGACCAATCATATCTAACCACAGTCCAGAGGACCACAGAGGCAAAGGTAGGGGCAGAAGAAGGGGTTACAGGGTTAGAATATCCTATCAGGGCAGAGGCAGAAATCAATACTAAGTTCAATAAAAGTTAGGCTCTGGTCAATGCCCCTGCCTCCTCACATGCAAGAAATGAAAATCGAATTACCTCAGTTCTAGATAGTTGTTTTTGAATGATAAAGGGATAAGAGGCTCACCCACCTTATCCTTATCTTCACTACAGCCTGAAAAAGCTATGGCATTGGAAAATAGACTGGAGACCAGGAGACCAAGGACTTTGGCATTACACAGAATTGAGTTTGAATCCCAGCTCTGCCACCTTCCTGGCTGTGACCTTAGGCAAGTTACTCAACCTCTCTGAGCCTGTTTGCTTAACTGTAAAATGGGGCTAATAATCAATTCTCAGGATTACTGTGAGGATTAAATGGGTCTAGTGTGGTATCAGGTCCCCAATGGGAGCTAAATAAATGCAAATGCCCCTCTTCTTGGCCTCCTTGACTTTTTTACTTGGGTCAGGGGTGTAATGTAGACCCTCCTTTTCCTCTGAGCAGCCTGGCCTGAGCCAGCTGAAGGCCTGCCTGTGCTCCCTTCACCCTTCACAGTCCTGGGCCTAACAAGGAAGGCCTGGTTGCTAAGTCAGACCTCATTCCACAGCCAGCTATAGAGATACCTATCAAACAGCAACTGGCTTACAAAGGGGGAAATCAAATTTAAAATATATTTAAATTAAAAATGTACATGCTCACTGTAAAAAGTGCAAAAGAACAGAATCAGGGACTTCCCTGGTGGCGCAGTGGCTAAGCTTGCCAATGCAAAGGACACGTGTTCAAGCCCTGGTCCGGGAAGATCCCACATGCCGCGGAGCAACTAAGCCTGTGAGCCACAACTACTGAAGCCCACGTGCCTAGAGCCTGTGTTGCACAACAAGAGAAGCCACCGCAATGAGAAGCCCGCGCATCGCAACGAAGAGCAGCCCCGGCTCTCTGCAACTAGAGAAAGCCCACGTGCAGCAACAAACACCCAGCACAGCCAAAAAATAAATAAATAAAATAAATTTATTTAAAAAAAAAACAGAATCATATAAATAAGAGCATCAGCAGTTTCCTATCCATCCTCAGCCCACCTGCCGAAGTAACCCTTACTCTCACCTGCTTTTTTTTTTTTTTTTTTGCGGTACGTGGGCCTCTCACTGCTGCGGCCTCTCCCGTTGCGGAGCACAGGCTCCGGACGCACAGGCTCAGCGGCCATGGCTCACGGGACCAGCCGCTCCGCGGCATGTGGGATCCTCCCAAACCGGGGCACGAACCCGTGTCCCCTGCATCGGCAGGCGGACTCTCAACCACTGCGCCACCAGGGAAGCCCTCACCTGCTTTTTATGCTCTTGAGAATTTGAGCCATCACTCCTTCTCATTCAGACTCCTCAGATATGACTGTCCCCCTCCTTGCCCGGGCCATCCCTCCTCCTCATCCCAGTAGCCATCCTCCTTCCAGTAATTTCCACACTCACCCTGTTCCAGTTTCTAGGCCTTCTATCATAAGAATCCCACTCTCTTGAAAAGATTTAATAACTAAAATAAACCTTCAGAAGACTGTCAGATAAATTAACTTCATAAAAACTGTGCTTTTTGGGGGACTTACCTGGTGGTCCAGTGGTTAAGACTCTGCGCGTCCACTGCAGGGGCCGCGGGTTCGATCCCTGGTCAGGGAACTAAGATCTCGCATGCTGCATGGCGTGGCCAAAAAAAAAAGGTTAAAAAAAAAAATGTACTTGTTATCTGGAAAATGGGAATTTTAAAATCTGCCTCGGCCACAGCAGTGAGAGGCCCGCGTACCGCAAAAAAAAAAAAAAAAATCTGCCTCTCCATAGGCACAATTATGAGAATCCAGTTAAGACCTAATATGCGTGGTAATTAAACCCCCAGTGCTGGATGATATAAATATACTGTGACCAGACAACAACAGCCACCAAGTAACACTTTCAGGCTGATAAAGAGAAATTAAAGCTAACTATGGGGTGTTTATTCCGAATCAGCGACATGCGTGATATCATTTCATCCTCAAAACAGTTCTTAGGAATCAGGCGCTGTTATCCTCATTGCCATTCAAAGGGGACTAAAGAGTAGCTGAAATACATATCTTTGGCTCAGCGGAGGCCAGAACCTCATTTTAATGACTGCAGCCCGAGCTTTTAAACCACCAAGTTGCCCTCACAGCCAGGCAGCTCAAAGCACAGTTCTTCCCATCATTTCTGTGAGGACTGTTTCACTATTCGTATCTAATTCACAAAGAGGGTAAACTTGCCAGTGGAAAGGGAAGAACAGTGAATGTCCCACATACCAGGCAGGAGTGGGGTTGTGGAATTTATTTTAATCTTCACTAGCACCAGAGCTCTTTACCAGGTGACAGGCTGCCCCAGCCTTGAAGCCATGAACCTGTGGCACTCTGAAGAGGAAGATCCCCAGCCTCCACAAAAGAAATCTGGAACTGCAACCTGGCCCAGTGCACAGAGCACTGGCTTATGAGTCAGAGGACTAGGTTCGAGGCCTAGTTCTGCCACTCACGGGCTGAAAGGCCTCAGGCACTTCACATGGCCTCTGTGGGCCTGTTTCCCTCTTACATCTGAAAGGACAGGTTGATGCTTGTGGTCTCCAAGGATGTGTGCTGGTGTTGAGTCAATGATTCCATGACAAGGCTAGGTCCGTAGGGAAGCAGAGATGGGTTTGCTTGTCTGCCAGGGCCCAGGAGCAACATGTGTGGACAGGTCTGGCTCATTAAGTGCCAGGGAACTTCCCCACCAGTAGCTTCCCTTTTCTGCCCTCCTCAGTCTTTCCTGGAGGCCAGACCCTGCTGTGCTGCTGTGGGCTGTGGGGTTAGGGTCTGGTAGAAGACAGAGAACTCACTGCTCTAAAGCATTCTAGTGACCTAGGCTGGCTATGGCCAAGCCTGGAGCAGACGAGCAGACTGATCTTGGTGGTGGGAGAAGGGGTGACAGTTCTCCTCTTAGACTCAGGCAATCTCACCCTCCCTTCAGAGAGAATGGCAATGGGATCAAGTAGCAGCGTCTGCCTCAGGGAGGATGTGGCTCGGAGCCTGACCTCCCAGATGGTCCAGCCGCCTCTGCCAGGGCTGCAAGGCCCTGCAAGGCCCTGCCGCCTGCCTCTAGCCTCCAGCGGCCAGTTATAGAGTTACAGTGAGTTACAAACACACCAACAAGGAACCATCTGGGAGAGTCTGAGCCTTCAGCCTCAACCACAGCCTCCATGAATCTCGAGAGGCCTTGGCACCTCCAGATTTTGAGGCCCCTCACTCCTGGCTCTGCCTCCCACTCTGGGATTCAGACAGCAGAGTGAGGCTGGGAATAAACATCAGTGGATTTCACGTAGGACTATCTGGTAAACTTTGAGAAAACTGAATCAGAACACTTTTATTATCAGAAAAAAATTTCCTGTCTTATTCAATGTGTTACTTTCCCACGAATTTCCTGGACAAGACCTGAATCCAGGGAAGTCAGTGTGTACTTGAACAAATGGCAGTTTTTTAAACTGGGAAGTGAAACCACGGATCTATTAAAAGATTATATATGGATCTTTCATTTCAGAGCTGACATAAAAAATAGGTATGGGTCTGTGAGCAAATGCGTAAAGACTAATTGTGAAATACTTCAATTTGATCCAAACTAGCTTAGAAACGAACTCCCAAAGTAAATATCAAATGTTGAAAATGAAGTTCAACTTGTTTTGAAACAGGCAATAAATGAACTGCAGGGCTCTTACAAAGAAATATATTTAAAAGGTGACTCACCATGCACTGAATTTGCAGTACATAAATATGGTGCCCAGCTGAACGTTCTTTGTAACGTATGAAGTTCAGTTCAGACAGCCATTCTCTCTGTAGTCTCAGGGAGGTACAGGCAACTATGACAGGCACAACACACTTGTATGACCTGGGCGGCAACTGGGCCCTCACTCACCCCCTTCAGATAATGCTGGTGATGGTAATAATCTGTAATCAGAGGCCAAGGGCCTCTTTAGAAAAAGAACTGGAGGCTCTGGCCCAAGGCCCAAATCAACACCTGTGGTCTTGGCCTGCTTCCCTGCACTGACATGCCACTGGACAGCAGCCAAAATCAGTGGCTCCTTCAAGCAGGAGGCTCAGTCCAAATGGCCTTGTGGGCCTAGTTCAGCCAGGAGAGAACTGGACACAGGCTGGTCTCCAATTCTGTGTCCCAGGAGGTAAAGAAAGGAAATGGACCCTTCCCCCAGATCAAGTCTCAGATATGATCTGGAAGTAAACTCCTGCTAGATCTAGAAATAACTCTTTTCAAGAGTTCAAGAACCCTGAATTCTGGCTCTGCCTCTGATAACTGGGTACCTTGGCAGGCCTCGGTTTTCCCCTGCCTCAATTTGCACATCATCAAAATGGTGAGAATAAATAACCCTTAGGGGAAAGGGAGATAAAATATGCCAAAGCATCTATGCCAGTACATTACATCGTGAATGAATGATGCAAGGGAGAGAGGCTGTTTAACCACCAGGGACTATAGAATCATTGCCATTTTCATCCTCACTACTGTCATGAAACTCCCTCAAAAGGGACCTTCACTCTTGGGAGAAGAGAGTAAAGGGAGATGGATTCATCTGTGGACTTTTAAATCATCGCTGCTGTTGAGGCATCTTGCTCCCTGTCAAGTGCAGAACAGCACTTTCTGAGGAGTAATATCTTTAAGCCTCACAACACCCCTATGAGGAGGCACTATTATTGTTACACCCATTTTACAGATGAGAAAGCTGTGCCCACAAAGGTTAAGTAACTTCCCAAAGTCACACAGGTGGTAGGTGACGAGGCTGGGATCGTGGGCACGCTCTCAACCACTGCTATTTTTGTTCTGCCGGATGGCTGACGAGGTTTTCTGGGGGAGGAAGGACCCAGGAGGCTCTGAAACGGCCTATCGGCTTCTGCGGGTTTTGGAAGGCGCAGGGATCGGAAGTCAGGTCTCCCAAGCCAGCCTCTGTGCCCTCGACACTCCACCGCCCCGCGGGGAGTTAGAACGATTACTCACCACGCTGAAGGGCAGAGCCGACAGACCTCAAATCGGGATGGGGTCAGCTAAGATGCACCCACCCCAACCCCTTGCACGGCTTTCGAAAGGGCGGGCTTCCTGCCTCGACGGTGCTTACAGGGACCAGACGGCGTTCATCAACAGGACAAGACCTTGGGAGGGGGTATCCTGGTCGAGGTCACACGGCGATATCCCCAGCACGGGTCCGCCCCCGGGCTCAGACGTGGCCGCTTCGCACAACGACGGGTCTAAGTGGGCCTGGGAATTCGGGTCCCGGCGACAACCCTGCTCTGACGGCCCGCCCACTCGCTTCCACCGCAGCTCAAGCCAGGCTGCCGAACCTACGTACCTGGCCGCCTGAGGCGGGCCACCTCGGTCACAGCCGCGGTTGCCCAGAGAAAGCGCACCCTGGCTCGGGAACAGCCAATCCTCTGCCGAGCTTTGGTGTGAGCGCCCCGCGAGCCTTCCAAAATCGAACGCGGAGACTCCGTGAGCCAATCGGCGGCGGCAGAGGGGTGAGGGGCGTTTCCCGCCTAGACCCCTTCTTTCCCAAGGCCTCGAAATCCGAGTGCGAAGAAGCCCCAGGTCCAATCAGCGGCGGAGCAGCAGAGAGGGGCGTGTCCTCCCGGGCCCTTTTCCTCCGCCCCAGGCGGCCCTCGCTCAGCGCGCGGAGGTGCCCCCTTCATTGACGTCAGTCCTCAGGAAGAGCGTGGTTTTGCTGGCTCGGGAGCTGGGGCGGTGCCGCATTCCTGCCCTGGGGTGCGGCGACGGCTGGCCCTGCTGGTTACACGTGACGGATGCCCCCCTCCCCTGGGCCCGAGGCCTTTGCGCGCGGCGCCGAGTTCCTTGCAGCATGTGGCCCTCTGCAAATAAATAGACTTGCAGCTCCTTAAACTCAACTCCCAGACCACTTGTCTTCTGGCTGCAGCTTTGCGGTAGAGGAAGGGACAGTCAGTGCGGTGGTCAGACCTTTGGTTTCAAAGCCAGAATGTCGTGGGTTCGAATCTTGAATCAGCTGTGCAATCTCGGGCCAACCTCCTAATGAGGCACTATTAAAAAGGTTTCATTCATTCCTTCGACAATGGTCCATTAGGGACTCACCCTGTCCCAGTTCCTTGACCAGCAGCGAACTGGAGACACCTTTAATAAGCCTTGCCCTGGGGGAATTTACAGCTTAGAAAGGGAGGCAGACATTTAAAAACTTAAAACGTTTAGTTGTGATTACAATTGTGATAAACATGAAGGAACCTAAGCTCCCTTGGGGAGGTCCTAGAAGGCAGAAGTAACATTTCAGTTGAGTTGTGAAGGAGGAGTTGAAATTAATCAAATGAAGAGGAATGGGTCTGGGCAGAGAGAAAGCCACATGCTAAGGCCAGGAGGCAGCTTGACTCAGGAGGACTTGAAATGAGGCCTGGAGTAAGGTTAGCAAGGGAGAGAGAGGTGGGGAAGCAGAAGGCAGAGGCAGGTAGTGAAGAAGTTTCCATTTGGTCCTCTGAGGGGAATAGCATTGTATGTGTTTATTTAATAGATTCGTTATAGCAGTTACTATGTGCCAGTAATGCCAGTCAGCACTTTACAAATAGTAGCTCATTTCATCCTCATGACAAATTTGTGTTTTTAGAAATTCACTTTGGCTGCAGTTTGAAACTTAGGGGGACAGGAGTGGATGCAGGGTGTCCAGTAGGCCCTTGATAAGTGCTTGTTTGCTTCGTTGGAAGATGAGTTGTTTGTGCACTGGTTCAAAAATGGTCACAAAGGGCACCTGGGAATAGGCAGCTGAGTCTCCCTGACTTCTTTTTCACTTCAAAGCTGACCTTTGTAGTCATTTGAGTTCTCTTCTGTAAAAGTTCCCAGGGGGGAAGAGTAAGAGCCAGCACACTGGGATTGTGGGTCCCTTTTGGCAAGGTGGAGGGTATGTTTGGGAGCTGTTCTTCCTCATCCCACGGTCTCTAATTCCTCTCTGTGTCCTGCACAAAAACAGTTATCAGCAAGTGCTTTATTGTAGCTTAAAGGGTTTTAACAGTGGCTTCTCTTTGCTTTCCTGAAGCCCTGTGGAAATATTGAAAAGAATGGAGAAATCAGCAATGTTCATCTCCAATAGAAAGTATTGCTGCAAAGCCTTTCATCCAACTGCTTGGCTAAGGAGAGTACTGTGCAGACAGTTAAACCAGGAATCTGGGCTTCTGAACCAGGAACTCCTTCTACTCCATTCCCCACAATAGGAAAGCCAAACTCTTGGCATATCAGTGCTTGGAGAGGCTAAGAATTCTGATGCCATGAGCTCTGCTGAGCATGTCAGGGTAGGAATCGGGGACTTGTGGCTTCTGGGTCAGATGTGACTAAGGCTGGGTAGAGAATATCTGGTGCCTCCAGACATCTTTGCAGGCATGTGACCATTGTGTTCTTACCACACAATGGAACCATTTCTATTGCTACAGCTTTGTGATTCAATATTTCTGATGAGAAGATGAGGCACTTCCGTGAGGCCATGCAAGAGTAGGGGATCTGGGATCCACTCCCCAACAGGGCCCTGTTTAGTGAAGGCCTACCCTGGGGAATGGAGCCCTGGGGTAATTCAGGCCAAGACCTGGCTTTACCAGGGATCAGATTAAGGTGAGGCAAGTGGAACACTCCTTGGGTGCAATATTTGAGGGGGCAACAAAAAACTCCATAATTAGGATAAATATTTTAATGTAATATCTTTAAAAATCAAAATAATGCAAAATATCCACGATGAACAAAGTATTGACATTTAACATAAAGACAGGCTGTTGTTTGTTTTATGACACTATCATTTTGCAATGGGAACAGTCATTTCCAGTCAGCCCGCGGTTCCCAGGAAGGCCGCCATTGTGTCTCCTGCCAATTGGCTTTGTGAGTGTTGACAATATTGTGCGAACAGATTGGGCAACACAGGGCTTTATATATGGTTGCGTTTTTTGATCGTAGAGATTTTATCCACTTTTTCCATTTGGTTCAAAATATGGAAGGATGTTTTGATAAGTGCACATAGGGGCACACATTTTCCCTTTCGCCCTAGGTTCCAATATGGCTCAGCAAGGTGCTAGTTTTTAGGGGAGTAGAGTCTAGGAAAGGGGTTCTAGCTGTTTAACCTTAGGCAAATAACTTAACCTCTCTGCTTCTCTATTTTCTCATCTATAAAATGGGAATAATCATACCCACCTCTGAGCATTGCTGTGAGGATGAAGTAAGGTGCTATAGGCACAGTGCATAATATAAACCTTGCTACAGACACTAAGGCAGCATTCGACTCCTTCCCTCTCTATGCTGCAGGAATTGTTCAAGCAGCTGGACAGTCACAAATGACCCCCCAGTGGGGCTGAGACTTGTTCCCATGGGTTTGTTGTTGCTGAATGTTCTGTTCTGGGGAGAACAGAGAGAACTTCCACACTCACTTGACAAGCAACAGTGGGACTCTTGAGTCAACTCCGTTTTTCTTGATAAATGACCTGATCATTCTAAACTTTTTAAAAAGCATCCTTCTGCTTAGGACGTTACAAAAAGCAACTTACAACAACCCTCTTCTGTGAACTTACAAACTGAACAGGCTGAAAACAACAAAGTCCTACAGGCAAATGGTGCATTATAGAAACATTAAAAAAAATACACCGTTGGCGCAGTGGTTAAGAATCCGCCTGTCAATGCAGAGGACACGGGTTCGAGCCCTGGTCTGGGAAGATCCCACATGCCGCAGAGCAACTAGCCCCGTGAGTCACAATTACTGAGCCTGCGTGTCTGGAGCCTGTGCTCCGCAATGGGAGAGGCCACGATAGTGAGAGGTCTGCGCACCGCGATGAGGAGTGGCCCCCACTTGCCGCAATTAGAGAAAGCCCTCGCAGAGAAACGAAGAGCCAACACAGCCAAAAATAAATAAATAAATAAAAAATAAAAAAAAAAAAGGAAAAATTCCTTTAAAAAAAAAAAAAAGAATCCACCTGCCAATGCAGAGGACACGGGTTCGAGCCCTGGTCCGGGAAGATCACACATTGCCGCCGAGCAACTAAGTGCGCCACAACTACTGAGCCTGCGTGCCACAATTACTGATTTGGGCCAAGTGCCAGCTCAGGGCTTGGGACATAAAAGGTGTTAAACCACTGTGAGTTGAGTCTATATATGCAGTATGTTTACAGTAGCCCAGAGACTGAGAACAGAATAGAATCTGACTGTGAACAGTAAGAGCTGATCGTGGGATCTCAGGGTGGGCTACACCTTCCTCCTTATTACAGGTTGCCTCCCCCTCTGGGCATATCGAATGTCATTGCACACAGTATCTATCTAGTGTCACTACTTGTTCCCTAAACAAGCTAGCCCCGTTTTTGCTCACACTGTTCCCTCTGCCTAGAATACCTGTCAGGGGCTGGGATTTACCCCATTTATAAGCTAAAAAGCTAGCCTGCTGTCGTTTCATAAATGCTGGCAGAAGACACAGGATTCCTGAGTCAGAGACAAAGGATTGACCGCTGTTGGCACAGCAAGCAGCATTAGCACCATTGTTACACATCTTTCCCTTGTTCTCAAGTTTCACGGGGGCACTACAGAGGGACCCAGGTGGATGTTACACATGCAGCGGGTTTGCGTCACAGCTGCGGAGCTCTGAGCTTGGAAAACCCACCACAGTCCCCTCCTACCTCACCACTTTTATCGTAAGCAATAAGTGAGTCTGCTCTGTGTCTGGGAGAAGATGTTCCCTCATCCCTCAAAGCTGCTGGCTGCAAAAACAACACTGAGAAATGGTTGCGGAAAGAGCTGTCATGGCCTTGCATTCTTGGCATACTCAGTGATAACATCCAGGGATGCTCAGGACCTGCCTGATGGGAGACTGCCTCGTCCAAGACACCTATCCCCCACCTCTGCTTGTCAAAACTCTATCCATCCTCAAATGACACTTCGTTTTTGAATCTTTCCTCAGCCCTCCCATCACGATACTCTTTCCCTTTCGTATTTTCCTTATAATTCTCATCCATGCCTCTTTTTTGTGTCCATTTGTGTCCACATCTGTCCCTCCCCTACCAGCAGAGTGCAAACACTTTGAGGGCAAGCATGGGTCCTCTTCATTCCTGCATTCCACACCCAGATTGTTTGCATCCAGCAGGTGCTTAGACCATACTTGTTGAGTTGGAGGTATCAATATCTTTGTGCATGGTCATGCTTTTGCGGAGTCTGTGGACCGTCTTTTGGAATGTCTTCAAGATTCCAGAGGCTAAAAATATCTCCTCAAAGCCGCCAAGGGCGCTTCCTTATAAGGAGTAGGATTTGCCTTGTGAAGCCAAAAGTTTGTGTCCACCAGGTGGCGCCCCACCCCAACTCTCCTGATGCCTTTTT